CTTGGCGGGGCTGGGGCCACCCCACCCCCCCTTTTTTTTTTTTTTTTTTTTTTCTTTTTCCCCATCATTTTAGCTCTCGGCTATAGGTCATGGGTTTTCAGGCCAGCTTTATTGGTGCACATAATACGCAACAAGAGGTACACGAGAGCTAAATGAGAGTTATTGTTCTCATTTTCTCAGAAACAGAACCAAACTTTTTTTTTTCATCCAGTTATGAATTTTTAATTGACTCATTAGACTGAGCGGCTCTTTTTTGGCAGCAGCAAAGCCTGGAGGGAGACAAGTTTGTTAGCATCTGTATTCTCTCCGTTTTTGTGTGAAATGAATGGGTTGGGAGCAGTGTTGATTTTAGACCTGCTGCTCCAGGACCTTTGAGCCGTTGTGTCCTGTGGTTTGAGGGAAGAGCTGAAGGGAGACTCTCCCCTTTTCACCCAGGTGATACAGCCCTGCGATGGGGCAGCTGGATGGGACATGGGTGCAGCAGCACAGGGGGCTGCTGTCTGCACCAGGATATCCCAGCTTGTGGCAGGGCAGCTGGGATGTGTCTTTGCTCCTGCCATCTGCGCAGCACTGAAGGCTACGTACCCAGGGCTCTGCAGCTGCTAAAAAATGGTCTTGTTGGCTTCAAAGATGTGCTCGTTGGGCTTGAAAGTACCCTTCTATCCATCTGGGGACCAGCAAGCATGGTTGACTGCCCCTCTCCCATATGTGGTGTCTCCACTCGACGTTCCTTTTCGTTCATCGAGATCTTGGCCAGGAAGTCCTGAAGTCTCTCTGATGGCTTAGAGTAAGTAGTGTTCCCCAGGCACTTTGTGGGACTCTTATCTGAATTTAGGCATGCAGCGCAAACACTAATCTTGCTGAAGCTAGGAATGAGGCTAATAGTGTTGTTCAAGGGCCTTCTACCCTGGGGAAATGTGTATCAAGGCTTAACCTTTTTCACCAGTCTTCAATTTACTTCAGTTGCTTCAAAAATAAGTCTTTCTGTATCTTGCTATCCCTCTTCTCATCTCCTCCTGAGCTACATCATTGGGAAGAAGGAGTTACACCTGGGCTGCGAGATGGGTTAGGATGAAGAATTTAGGACACCTCAGACTGAGCTGCAGGGGCTGAGGGAGGTGGCAAAAAAAAAAACAAACCAAAAAACCAGGCACGGTTTTTCAGGATGTTGTGGGACCGTGGCCTTTTGCTTGATTTATGAGAAAGGATTAGCCCAGATACAAAGTCTGCAACTCCATTGTTTGCCTTCAGAGTTCAGTTCCCTGAGGCTGACACGAAGTTGATGAGGCTGGTTCGTGCTCTTTTACTCAGTGTGGGGTGAAAAGATTTTTAGAAGTTCGCACGAGTGGCTTCCTACTCCCTAAGGTAGGTGTTGAGGCAGTATCTGCGACTGGAGGGCAAAGAGGAACAAATCTGGAAAGCAACCCGTCTTTGTTTAAATTAAGTGCATCCTGCGCTAAGCAGACTAAAGAGAGAGCCTGGATGTTAGGCTTGGGTTAGGCAGCTGGTGCTGAAGGAAATGAATTCTTCCAGTAGTGGCTGAAGACTTGGCTGCTTTTGGAAATTTCCCCCATGCTGTTCCTAAGCAACTGATGGAAGCGTTGGCTTTGTGGTTGTATTGAGAAGACACTTGGGCATACTGAAGAGGGGTGTTACAAAACTGGACTGATTAAATGGGGATCTGACTGGCAATTGTATCAGGGTCATGGCCTGCTTTTTGCTGGCTGTGACAAGTACGTGGGCTGCTCGTTCACTTTTTGGAGAAGTTAGGGACAGTAAAGAATTTGCAGGTGAAGGAAGGCAGCATCCCAGTAACGTCGTGTCACCACTGGCAGGGCAGCGGTACCTTCCAGATTGTCATTGGAATTATCCCTTGTCTTAATAACTCTTGAAATATCAGCAGAAGAGGGGGTTTCTGTGCAGTAATTTAGGTGGTAAAGCTCCGGGGGTGCTGTGAAATCTGAGATGCTGGTTTGTGCTTATCACCTTACGTTTATGGGTAAATAAACTCGTGTTTTGCTGTGGGGCAGAAGGGAGCACATGGCAGTCCCTTCAGAGTGCCTGAGTCATTGCAAATTTGTGCTCCACTACATCTCTGCAACGAGTTGTTTGTGTGCCCGTACCCTTACTTAGATAACAGCAAAGAGGCCCAGGTCTAACCTCTTCAGAAGCTTCAGACTTTTATCTTGGTGGTTTTTTAATCCGTGCTCCCAAAAACATTGAGCTCTTTTTCAGAGCAAGTGGTTTGAGGGGAAAAAAATCAAGCTTTGAGTTTTTCTTAAACAGATAGTGACAGAGCGGGAGAAAGGGTTTCAAAGCACTTGAGGAGGTCACAGCTCTTACACTCTTTATTTTGGGGGAAGCAGCTGTACAGCATCAATCCTAAAGGAGTTAAAGCAACAAAAATGAAATGGGTTTGAATGGGGCGGGGGAGAGACCACAACCTCCTGTTCCCCTGGGTCCTGCCTGGCTTGACGGCTCCCAGGGGCTGGGTGTGTTGGTTTTGGCTGGCAGCCCCATTGTGGTGAAGTTTCAGCATCGTGCCAGGTTTGGGAGTGGTGGTGGGCAAGGGCGCTGGTGGGGTGAAGAGCTGGCTGCCTCTCTCCGTGCTGGCTGCGGCTGTGCTTGGTGGGATCTCATCTCCAAATGCTGAGCTGCCCGGATAACTCAGAGCTCTCTGCAGACCAGAACTCAGTCCACAGATATTTTGACCGTGCCTTGAGGAGTGTGTCCTGTAGATGTCCCCTG